GCCCAGCATGCGTTTGTGTGCCCGTGTCCGTTTGCGACCTCACCAGCTGCTGCCCGCTAATCATGGTGCACCTGCGTTTTTAGTCGATACAGGCCTTTTGTCCTATTGGTCCCTTTCAAAGCCGCCACTCACAGATGCTCTCCTATTGGCCGAGGCCACATTTTCTTCACTTTGCATTAAACACTGTGTATTTGTGTGAGTGTGTGTGCTCACGTCTCTCTAACACTGCAGCTGCTGACTGTGAGCCTGGAGGAGCTGGAGAAATGAAGCAGAATCACCTGATTCTTCACTTCTGAGTGAGCTGCAAGCTAAACGTAGCACCTGTTGGGCTGATCTATCGCGAGTGCATAGACGGGAATCGGCGGGGTGGGCGGGTCAGTGGAGAATGGCAGCGTGCCCGTTTTGGCCCGCGCAGGCTAGCACTGTAAATGTTTTTAATTAGCGAATAGCCACAAAGCAGGTTAGCTAATGCTGCGCATGGGGAGGCGGATAGAGGGAGAGGCTGGCTTAGCGGCTTTGCTAGCCTGAGCAGAAGGAACGTGCCAGGGGTTTGAGCCGGTGTTGGAGAGAGGGTGTGGGGGGCTGGAGGTGGAGGATTTACTCTCTCTCACGCACACAGTCTATCTCACAGGGCTTATCTTTATCCACAGTCTGTGGAGGGTTTCATCTGATGTCAGCAGAGATGGAGAGACTGAGAGGGAGAGCTGGAACTCGGAAAGACAATGAAAAGAAGGATCCTGAAGAGATTTGAAAGCGAGAGAAGAGGACTCGGGGAGGGTGTCTGTAGATGTGAAGGGAACTGTCCAGCTGGGATCAGCTAAGAGGGCTGGAAGGTATAGCTGGATATCCGGGCAGCTTTTGTTATGAATAGATAAAGCGGAGTGAGGGAGACAACACAGAAAGAGGCAGCGTGGAGCTCGGCAGTGACCGACCTGGGGATTAAAACAACGCAGACCGACTGGCCAAGCGAGAGAGCGAGCAGGATCTAGAACAAGAGCAAGAGAGGGACAGTAGAAGGGAGGGATGGAGTCAGAGGGGTCTTTGTGCTAGATGTTTGGGAGTTCTTTATTCCCTGGCACTGGCCCAATCCCCAGTCCCCAATCGGGCGGGGAGGCTTTGAACCCGGGGCTTTTCGAAAGAGCAGCATGCTCTCAGGGCAACACATGGCCATAACAAAGAGCCGGGCAAAATGCCCGGTAAGTCACAAAAGCCCTGTCCCTTAGGTCATCGGCAGAATTCAGCATGTGCCGCCGTGTCTCTGCCAATCGGCATGCCAAGACCTCGGCGCTAATAACCTCCATCATAAGGTTCTTATAATAAAGCCCCCCAG